TATATCTTTCATACGAATACACAAACATTTATTTCCATTACACGTCTTATTACATTTGGATCGATTTTTCGGAATGTTTCAAATTTACATTTAGTTCTTTATTTTCCCATCCTCCGCTATAAATTCGTACGACGTAATAATGCCGGTTGTCGTCGTGAAAAATTGCTGTGGAAGCACGCGACATTAAAATCGGTTACACGGGAGCGTTTTTTTAAAAAAATCTTTCGCCCTCTGATGTGTTCCGTATCGACCGGACCGCTGGAAAACCGCCCCTTCGCCGCCGACGGGGACCGAAGGGTGTATTACCAGAAAATGGGGCTAATAACGTTGCATTAAGCAAATTTACCAAAAATGATTGATCCGTCTGACGAAGGGCCGCGCGAGCTAAGTGTACGCCGGAGAAAAAAAGGTTTATTCCATCGGATGGAACTCGATTTTTGAATAAAAATATTGTCGCCCCGGGAACGACGAGAAGCGAAATATCTAAAAAAAAATAAACTCGACGAGGAACTCGTTAAAAGGGCGGAAAATTTCCATCCGAAACGGCTAATTAATTGCAATATTACCGTATATAAAATAAAAACTCATTAATCATTTACCGTCGAATAATTTACTCGGCCGGCAATTATGCAAGTTCGCAACAATTAAGTATGCAAGTTCAAAAGTCCCCCGGGCAACCTTCGCGTACTGTTTGTTTTGGAATAGCATCAAGGAAGTTTCTGATCGGCACTCATGGAAGCGCGTATTGTTTAATTGAACGAATCGGAATTATTAATCGTCGAATTCGATAGGATAACAATCCGAGTATCTACTAACCGGGTTACGGACATTTAAATTATTGTTTATTTGTCGAATGATAGCGATTTCGAAACGGCATTTCCTCCTTTCGGCTCCATTAACCGGCTCGTGTTCGATCGCGTAGAAATTTTCAATTCCCTCGAAGGCCCAAAGTAGATAATGTTACAAAGTGGGCGTATTAAAATCGCTAACAACCATGTTAATACCGGGCCTAAACTGATTGCCCCGTTAATTGACCATCTGTTTCACAATTCGGACCTGGAATTACCTGATAAACTGCTTTTTAACTGAATTTACCACATGAAAGGCGGATCGTAATTTCGCGTAATGGAAGGGCATTTTCGATTTTACATCACTTCTGTTGTGCAAAATAACGCCCACACTGAATTTCATATAGATTAATTAATTATGATATTTATTTAGTTTATGCCGTCGTTTTTTTCTTATTATCTATCTACAGTTTCTGGCTGCGTACAGATACACAGAGTAGGTATATAACAGAATGTCTTCCAAACGATCGCGAACAAAGGAAAACAGGTCAGACATTCGGGCCTTCGAGCACTAACTTAATAACCAAGCCTTACCGAAGTACATTATCCCATTTGCAGGACTATAAGGCTGTCCTCAAACTTTCCGAAACCGTCTTGACAACTCAAACCGAAACCGAACTAGACGATGGAAAATCCCCTTCGGGCAACGACTGTATATTTCCATTATACGGAGCTTCGCAAAAAGGTACCTAAGCCCATTTGGTTTGTTTTAATCGTAACCAGTTATCTGTTATATTTATACAATATTCTTCTGAAAGAGATTCTTGATGGCGTAAGAAATATATTGTGCAATTTTATTTATTATAGTAAATTAAAAAATGGGAGAAAGTATAAACAGAAATGGGAATAACACCAATTGAAAACCTATTTACGTTTATACGACAAATTTAAAATTATCTTGTACTACTTTGTAACTTTTTGTTACATTTTAAACTACGCGTTGTACTTTATAATTTTTGGGGGATTTGGTAGACGAGAAATTCCAGGGCTTCGAACTTTTCGCTGCACAGGAAGATCCCGTGCATTAGGGTTTTTGCATGTTTCATGCGCCCGAAAGCCGGCTTCGTATTTTATTCACCGCCTAATTAGAACAATGTGCAGCTTCGTCCGCCCGAAAACGCCGCTGAATTTGAATACCATTTAATATGCGCTCGTCCGGGGCTCTATTAATAGTTGTTGAGGTAAGTTTTTGCCTGTCTAATCGGGATGAATTGCGACGGTATCGCTTCACTTTTTGCCCGGCTGCATTATTAACTTGCCTAGTTAGCGGAATTTTATGTAAACTGATTCCTTTTTGGTTTCATTTCGTCTTCACTGTCGGTTGGTAATTAATGTAGAAAAAAATAAGTTTTTTTTTGCGTTCTATATGCCTTTAGAATAGCGTCAAATACAAAGGATGGGCCGTCTAACGTTTGGAATTCGACCTACCGAAATTCAGTTTTATGTTTAACATTTATGAAATGAGATATCACTTAAACAAATTTGGGAAATATTGAAAACTTATTTCTAAAGTTGTGAGTCTTTTATTCGAATGGTAAGAAATTCGATACTGATATTAATTTGCCTTCTCAGAGCTTTGATTTATGATCCCGTTGAATTTTTTTGTGGGAAGCCATTAGGATTTTAGTTTAATCAAACGATTGATGGCCTGTAGCACGAAATCGAACTTGCAATTTTTGCTATTGGAGCTCAATGTACTAAAAAAATTGGGTACTCTCAAGCCAGTCATGACAATGTCTGAATGTTTCATTCTTAAATGAAACTGTCCAATGTTTAATAAGCTTATAATTTTGAAACGTTATTTATTAGCTTTAATTTTATAGCCAATTCAATAACAAAAGTTAGATTACCCAACTTATAAAAGAAACTGGTAAAAGTCGCGGTTATTTTTTTGTACCAATAAGAGACATGATAACATGTATTTTATATTCGATAAAGACTGGACAAATAATTACTGGTCTATAACCAGCCCGCAAGTAAACCTATTCATAGACTTACGTCGAAGAAAACGACTTTTTCGACTCCTCTATATACATTATGTATGACCTTTCCGCCCATTTCCTTCGAACAGATGCTACTCCTATTAACGCACTCCTCAATTTCCTCGTCACCGGCCATCCTGTTTCGAAAACATTCCTTCTTGCCCGACCGAATCGAACGGGACTTTTCACGATTTCCTTCCGTCGAAATAACCCCGCAGTGCAAACTATTCTTTCGTATAGCACCAAAGCGAACCATCGTAAACGTATAACTTCCTTAACGATGGAAACGAACAATAGTTTCCGCAGTCAAAGCCGGGGAGTGTGCTCGCCGGAATATGATACATATTATGCTGCTCTTATTAAACTTTGTAACAACTTCAGACGATTCCTCCGTCCGGGTTTCGCGGCGTAACAGAGAGAAGACGTTTGCAGAAGTTCCGAAATGTTATTGCAACGTTAATTTATAAAACGCTTTAATAATGTAGGGACGGAGCGTTAAAATATTAACATTCCGCGGAAAGGAAACTCTCGATAACAAACTCGCCGGGTTTTTCTTTAATGACTTTTTGTCAAAGGCTATTCCCCACTTCTCGGGCGAGCATCAGTTAAACGTACTTAGAAGGTGCTTTTCTTTCCACTCGCTTCTGCTTAAACTATTCAACATCTTCATTAATTCTTGATATCACACAGGAATTCCAAATGAAGGAGACGAATCGATTACCCGGCTACCTTGCACGGTGACCCCTCGGGCTACTTACGCGGACATTATTAAATAATTATTCTTTTCTTTATCGTATTATTAATTAATCACATCTACATCTGTATAAAGTAAATCTAGATATGTTTTAAAGGGTGATGTGTTTGAGAATTGACTACGAAATTTGTTATTTTATTGGATACTTTGTGCATTTAAGTCGACATTTTCTCCTACTGCGATAATGAAAATTTCTTGTTCATGGATCTTTAGGAAATGAAAGAAACGGAAAAATTCCACTATATTGCTTCTGGCGTTATACATGCACTTGCCGAGTTCAAACTAAATGAAATACAAATGGCTGATGTATACACTTGAAAAATACCATTGTGTATGCAGGGCGAAGGAGTGAATGGCAAAAAATACATATTTATACGGGGAAAAATATATTATACCTAAAAAAATCTGCCTTTTATATTTAACATTTATTACATTTCCTGTATAAGTGAATATGATTTTTTATTTATTTAGAGGAAAATGACAATAATGGTAAATTTGGGAAAGTTGCATTGGACAGTGCACTGGGACAGTGCACTTTTGGGTCGTACCTAGAGTAGACTAGAGAATAGGGAGTAGAGAGTAATGAGAGGACAGCAGAGGGTAAAGGGTAGAAGGTAGATAGTGGGTAGAGGGTGGAAGGTAAGAATTAAGAGTATAGAGAGTATACTCGTAGAAACTAGGTTACAGGCAGTATAGAGTAGAGAAAGTAGAGAGTATACAGAGTAGAAAGTATAGAGAGTAGAGAGAGTAGAAAGTTGAAGGGTAGGATAGAGTACGGTATGGAATTCGTCGTCCCTTTTTTTCTAATTTATATACCTACCTAATCATTATATCGAAAACATAAGCATATAAAAAAGATTGAAAATGAAGATTCTTATCAATCATCAAAAGAATGATTTGCAGTTATTTTTTAATAACCTTTAGGTAATTCTCATATCATATAGTTAACATCTACCCATTTTCTAAAACCATTTATCTACAAAACTATACAATATATTCCAGTGTATAAACCAGATGTTAAAAAGTGTAAATCCGTCGTATCTCGGTTTCCCTTCGGATAGCAATCATTTTAAATTTCATTAACAAATTGCTCACGGCCGATATTTTTTTCCTTACAGACGGGACAGAGTCGCAACGTCTCGGCAAGATGGCGGGCCGCATCACCGGCGAAATATCTCTGTAATCAATCACGGTCGACGGAGACGACGGGAAGAAAAAAAAGCGGGTGCCGCAGGACGCGAAAGGGATCTACCCCGAACGCACTACGAGCGACAAATCGGAATGAGTTTTAAAGTGATAGCCGATGACTAATGACCCGTTACGAGAAATTAGGGCTCGAGAGAGGGCCGATTCGGAAATGAATAAAACATCTGTAATAGTGGTTTCTTGGGAATTCAGGGAGACTTGAAGACACTGATGCATATTCAAGCATGGCGTGAAAGTTTTCACGGTAAGCTAACATCGTCTTGTCGACTTAGTTTAATCGCTTTTAATCGAGACGTCTCGGATTTAAGGAAAGTTGATTGTATGTACAGAGGGATTTTCGTTTGCAGGAGCGGAGGACAGTTTTCGTATGGCGACTTCCACAACGGATCTAGCGAACATTACAAATGGAACCTCGAATAAAACTAGCGAAGATCTATCGGGATACAACCAAATCGAGAGCATTGTAATATCGATTCTATTCGTCTCTATCATTTTGGGCACGATTGTCGGGAATATTCTAGTTTGCGTAGCTGTTTGCCTGGTGAGGAAATTAAGACGACCCTGCAACTACCTTTTAGTAAGTATTTTGTTATTATTTATAAATAATGTCGCTTAACATGTGAGGTATTTGTAGTCGACTCGAAAATAACACTAAAATTATTATCAGGCAAATTATACAGGGTGTTTTTTAGTAACATGCTAATACTGAAGGGGGTGTTTCTTGGGCCTATTTTAAGAAAAAACTTGATATTAACCTATGTTTTAAACGTCTTAGCTTTTCAGATATAGGGTGTTAAAGTTTTAAGAAAATAACTAATTTTTACTGTCATTTGCATACCCTTTAAATATTTTTTTGAAGTTTGGTGTACGGCGTTTATGCATTAAAGAGAATTTTATACCTAAAAAACTTATTTCCAACAGTGGCGTCCGTACTGGACTCAGGCCAAATATTTATGAGAGTAAAAGTGGTACGCCACTGCTATCTCTATATATAAAAATTATTTTTGGAGGCCCCGTTCAATTTAGAACAAATTTGATTTCTTGATTTTTATGCACGACCCACCGTTTCGCATAAAAAAATTAAATGCATTCATTTGTACGCTACAGCTGGATTAGTCGCTGTGTAGAAATTATAGGTACTAATAAATTCTAGGTTAAGGACATATGTTCATAGTAAGTTTTTTTTTTTTTTAATAGGTCCAAGAGACAGCTCCTTTCGGTATTAGCGTGTTATTAAAAAACACCCTGTATAAGTTATCTTTAAGAACGCAGATGCGGACTAGCTATTTTGTATTTGATTCAAATATTTCTATCTACTCGAATTGTGTTATTAACTTAAAAAAATGTGATTTTAAAGTAGGTACCTAATTACGAAAAATAAATATTTCTTGAACAGAATGAATATTTCCAAAAAGTGACCGATCTTTTTTTGATAAAAGTGTAATTAATTTAGTGTTATTTTTAACTCGTCTGTGCAGCATTTCCTTCTGGTTAAATGGCGCCCTGTATATACAGCGTGTTTAGATTCGCTTAATTCGGGATTTATCGGAAATTACCAGTTTCTAATATAAGTAACGGGGGATTAAAAGCGAGGATTTGCCGTTAAATTTCCGCTCCCTCCTAATGGCGTACGGTTTACACTAAAAGGCTTAGCGCCCCGATATTTTCGCCAAAGAAGTTTCCGAAAATCCCCGCGCGGTAAGACAATTAATTCTCCAACTTTTCTTATTAACTTTTCCAAAAGGTGAGCCTGGCCGTCAGCGATCTGTGCGTGGCGATTTTAGTGATGCCTATGGCCGCCTTCTACGAAATCAACGGCAGATGGATATTCGGCGAGATAATGTGCAACCTTTGGGTGAGCTTCGACGTGCTCTCGTGCACCGCCTCCATATTGAATCTGTGCATGATCAGCGTGGATAGATACTACGCCATCACCAAGCCGCTGGAGTACGGGGTCAAAAGGACGCCCAAACGGATGATATTATGGGTGATATTAGTGTGGTGTTTCTCGGCGTGCATCTCCCTGCCGCCCCTTCTCATACTCGGTAACGAACATTCGGAGATGACCGAGAGCGGCGAGAAACGGTTCGACGTTTGCTTGGTGTCCCAGGACATCGGTTATCAAATTTACGCGACCATGTGCAGTTTTTACATACCGTTGACCGTCATGATGTTAGTGTATTACAAAATATTCCGCGCCGCCAGGCGAATAGTCAACGAGGAGAAGCGGGCGCAGAGCCACCTCGAGAACCACTGCTATTTGGAGATAAGCGTCAAAAACGGCGACGGCCCGCCGGAGAATAAGATCTCCAGCCAGACGCCCTCGCCTGCCAATCCCGCCAGGGGGAATCACAGGAGCAGCAGCGCCAGCACGAATACAGTGGTAAGTTTTTTTCATTATATTATTAATCGATTTTACTGTAGCTATTATGAGAGTTGAATAGTATAATTTAATATCAACAACTTTCTAATTAACCGAATAAATGAGCTCTGCCATATTATTAAGACACCCTGTACATTCACTGTTTTTTGGATAAGAATGAACTGTTTGGGAATCTTAAGAGATACAGCAATAAAGTTTAAATGGACAAAACTGGGATTAGTGGGATTACATTAAATAGGTGATTTAAAGGTATTTGTCCCACATTATAACTTTGGTCAAACTTTGGGAGCAAGTAGAGAACCTCAAAATATGACACAAACTTAAATGTCATTTTATCGAAATGTCAAGTTTTTGAAAGAATTCATTCCTAGATATTTAAAGATGATAATAGTTTAATAAATAATTTTGTGTATCAGAATTTTAAAAGTAATTTTTCATGAAAACGGTTCACTTGTATGTAGAAAACTTTCAATTTTTTTTTCATATTCTTTAAACAAATCAATAGAAAAGTTTAAAATAAAAAAGTAAAGTTAGAATTACACCACGAACCCCCCATTTTAACCCATCCCTGAACAACTTTTTTAACCCGATTGAATAGTGCCGTAAGACAATTCATTTGCTTAATATGTGTACCAAATTTCATTATTTTACCTTTGCAATGAATGAAATTATCAATAAAAATACCTCTTTAAGAATTCATCTTTAACACTCTGTATACATTTTGGACCAAGGACATTTTGAAAAAATGATATTTTAGTTTTTATCATATTTTGAGGTTCTCTACTTGCTCCCAAAATTTGTCCACTTACTTCAGAAACACCCTGCATAGGGTGTCCCAAAAGTAACTGATATTTTAAATCTGCAGCAATTTTTTTCGGGGTAAAACTAGAGATATCTATTTATATGATGTCATAAGTAGACGTTGAGGTTCAGTTATGGAAAAGATAGAAATTGTAAAATTTCACTTTGTTATTGCTTGAAACATTTAATCCTCATGTTGTCATCTCTAAGGGAGGTGATGTCAATTGGCCACCAAGATCATTTGATTTGGCACCGTTTTTTTTTCAGGGGGTATTACTCTGTCTTTATAAAGGATAAAATGATCAATAGGCCTGATGCAATTTAGGCAAGTTAGGCAAGTTATTTTATTTGTATCTAATAACATAACCTCCATGTATCTCCTTTCTATACGAATAAAAATATTATAAGTTGTAAAATAAAAATGTGTTTTATGAAAGATTACTTTTGGGACTTTTGGGACACATACTTTTGGTTACTTTTGGGACACCCGATATATTTGGAACAAATCTATTTTTATATCGAGGGAGACATCTTTTGACGTAAAAAACAATTATAATATTATTCCACCCTTTTGTCCAGAGACCCCAACCCTTAAAAATTCAATAGGGAATATGGATTTCGTAACACATTATTTGAAAGCTTTTCTTTTTCTGATGAGTATAAAAATAATTCTGTCGATTCGTTTTTGAAATATTTAGCGTTAAAGATAAAATCTCTTTTAATTTATGTATGTCGAACGTTGAAAACATTTTGTATAAAACGAAAATTGTTTTATTTGATAAATAATAAAAGAAAAATACCTTATATTATAAAGACACTTTAAACTGGTCCTGTCGAATCCAACGAAATCGAACTCGTTTTTCTCCATCTGTAGTATATTGCATATCATTCGTTCGATAGCAACCCACGCAATAAATTCGCAACAAACAAAAAAAAAATCCGAACACATGTCAATTCTATCGGGATCCGATTTAGCGGAAAACAACGCGATTTTCCACCGTCGTCGACGATACTCCGGTCTACTCCGATGTACTCCGCGTTCGATCCATTAGCGGTCGCGATCGAACAACCGTTTTCGATTTCTTCGCGAAAAGAAAACGGTGATGAATGAATTTCATTATCGGCACACATCAAATTTCCTATTCGCCGGGACGAGTCGGAAAAGAAAATCGAAATCGAAGAGGGGTAAGGGGAACAGGTAAAAGGCGCGTTGCTAATTCGAAATAGATGAATATAAATCGCCCGTCGATTCGGCCCGGCTATCTGTGATGTGTTTCTCGCGAAAGCCGGCCGGGTGATTTGTCATATTCGTTGTTTCACGACGTTCAATGAAAGGAAGAAAAATTACGCGGCCGAAGAAAAAGTTGATGGACTTGCGGGTTTTATTGTTCCTCGAAATAAACGCGCTGTTTTCCCGCTCGCGTACGAAAAAAGTCCACAATTTCCTGTTCGACATCACGGCACGAATAATGATGCATTTCGACGTTCATAATTACCGGGTAAAGGAGCCACAATATGTTACGACAGTTAATTTCGAAACGGTAGGTAATTAAAAGCGGCCCTTTCGATTCCGGGGCGTTTCGGTAAAAAAATAAACATTAATATCGCAAATATCACAAAGGGATTCCACGAATGAACGGAATAATGTAAACCTTTGTTGAGACATCAAAGCGATACAAAGTCAAACAGTATCGGAGACAATATCCATGTTTCGAACGAGGAATAGATTTCGGGATTGACTCCTCTTTTTGCAAGACTTTCGCTCCGGCGGATAAATAATCGAAAGGTTTATTAGGTGAGGAGCAAATGCGAATACACCTGGAAATTGTCTGAAACGCTTGAAGTTCATTTAAATATCCAAAAAGTACGTAAAGTTTGTACGTTTTCAAATGACAATGACGCAATTTTTAGTAATTTCCACGCATTTCGAAATGTCCCTAGTGCCAATGTTATTTTACTATTTGACTAGGGGAATTTAGCGCCACGCTGTTAAATTTCCGATGCGTTGTTCATTGCGTTGCCATATCGTTTGTTTTGACTATAATTTGTTGTTTTTATGACTTTTAGCGATTTTTCTCTTTTTTCTGGAGCGTTCTAAATGGTTCTGGAGCAGTTCTAAACAGTTCTAAATGATTCTGAAGCTTCCTAAATGGTTCTAGACAGTTCTTAATTAATTGTTCAGGAGCGCTCTAAATGATTTTAGACCAGTTCTAAATGAATTTGGAACGTTCTTAATGGTTACAGGCAGTTCTAAATCCTTCTGAAGCGTTTTAAATGATTCTAGACAATTCTAAATGGTTCTGGACAGTTCTAAAGAATTCTGGAGCTTCCTAAATGATTCTAGACAGTTCTAAATGGTTTTGCAGCGTTCTAAATGATTCTAGACAGTTCTAAATGATTCTGCAGCGTTCTAAATGGTTCTGAACAGTTCTAAATGATTCTGGAGCTTCCTAAATGATTCTAGGCAGTTCTAAATGGTTCCGCAGCGTTCTAAATGACTTTAGACAGTTCTAAATGATTCTGGAGCTTCCTAAATGGTTCTAGACAGTTCTAAATGATTCTCAGCTGGTTTTGCCTTTGTCCTGTTTATTTTTCTAGTTTACAAGTAGTTTTTGTGTTTTTCGTATTCCCTCCGGAATTTCTTTTTCATGTTTAAATCTCCCTATTTGTGCCTTTTTCAATTTATAAACATAAAAAGTAAACATAACCTTATGCACATAAATTAAACGTATATGTCATTTAAAGGATTTCACTTACGACCCGGCAACGTTGCAACAGGCTGACTCGTGACGTCATTGTCATTTTAAAACGTACGAACTTTATATAGGAAATAAAAATATAGGTGGGTTCAGAATATGGGACAAATTATCATACTGCTCTGGCCATAAAATGCTAAAAAGGTCGAAATATGTTAATACATTTTTCGACCTTACCCCTTCTTGCGTATGTATTAAAACTGTTCGCTTATACTTTCCGAATAAATGAATAGGCAAATGTTACAGGGTGACAATTACTAGAAACTCGTATTTCCACTAGGAACCTACTGAAAAAAAATGTACCTATCTCAGACACGTTTCATATAAAACGAAGCTTTTGTACGTAATTTATATGTAAGGAATTTTGTAAGAAACCAATAATAAAAAAATCCCCCGTTGATACCTACTCGATCCGCGGACAAGCTGTATACGAAATGGGCGCATAAATGAATAAGCAAAAATATCCCGATATGACTCCTTTAAGTCATTACATATTCATTTGCCCGCTCCACCTATACATTATTCATGGTCTTGGATGGCGAACGATTTGTTTTTCTTCTTAATAAAGCTGCGTTACGTGATGTGCTTTTCGAAAAGATACAAACCATTCTAGAAGGTATATTTCATGCTTTCCTAACTATCATCGCTAATTTATACTTTTAGGAGGAATATAGGAGCATCTTAAATACCGCGATATTAAAATGAAAAATCTGATTATGTTCCACGTGAATTCGAGGAAGCGTGTGCGGCAGTGATTTGCCTTTATGCGAGCTTTTTTATTATTATAATGGCCACTTCTGTTCGAGCGATTAGTCGTTTTCTTTTCATGCCCGATTTCGAGCGATACGGTCGTTTTCGTTCGGTCGTAGTTGTTAAAGAAGGATTCTTAAACCGAGTGATTTACGAGAAAAATACGAAGTACATGTGTTTAGAAAACCCATCGAAGCCAACGGAACGACTGCAGTTTCCGAAGTCGACGAAAAATCGCTTGAAAAAGCAAATAAATTTTACTGGAATTTACTAATTCACCGATTAATCTTCGCTCAATGCTTGCAAAAATAACTATTTACTTTGCGACTTTGAAATTGTTTGAAAAATATGACTACAATGAACTCGTAAATATCGTGTGGTAAAATCCACTCGGAGCGTTCAATGCGAAAAAAACGGGCCGCGCAAACACAAAAGAAAACATTTATCAGCGAGTTTTGCAAACCGATGTCGTTTTACCGTCGAGGAAAAAACCTTTTCCTGGAAAATCCAGCATGGCGGGCGCACTTTTCATGCCGGCCAGAAACCAACAATAACGGAGCCGGCCGTGACGTGGAAGTTTCATTTTTCATTGCCGGTCGCTTTCGAAACGCCACTCTCTCTCTGGCGAGCACACGGGAAAATTCGCCCGGGAAATTTCATCGAAATTCGCGAAATTAGTCGGCTTTTCGGAATTAAAAAGCCGAACTCGTGCAGCTCTATTTTTTGGGTTTAGAGGTGAAAAAGAGAATATTCTGATATAGGAACTGGACCATCACCGAATTCTAAAATCTCAATCTTGTGTATACCGGTGAATTATTCTCCTGATCCTTTTCAAAACAAAATACCGGGAGTTTTTTGACGTTTCCTGAAAATAATTCCGGCGATTCGAATTTTACTCACCTAAAATGTTTCGTAGAAAGACATCTATTGTGCCTGAAACAGCATCTGTTGCGAAACTCGAGAAAAGCTATGAGGATATTAAAATCGAAATAACTCTAAAACAGACTTGTGAACATTTTTAGTACTTCGGAAATTGTAGAGAACATCTAGCAAATGAAATATACCTACAGAGTAACTCATTTCTTAGTTACAATTATTTTTTTGTTCGGAATTAATCGAGCTTGAACTGCGCAAAAATCTACAAAACCGCGACAATTTCTCCACAAACTCGTCGCAAAATATGAATAAAAAAATTTTGCCCGCAAATACAACGAAACATTTCCAGTCATTAATCAAACGCATTATTTATAAATTCCTTTTTGTATATGTATACATGCTCGTATACAGCGCCATATAAAATAGAGTGATAAAGGTCGCATGACACTTAATGCCGCTTAATGGATTTCGCTACTTAAAAATATGCCCGGCGTCATAATTAAATTTCGCACAGGTAAAACAGTCTCTCGCCCGCAGGAGTGACAAATCTACTCTTTTGCGATTAAGTCGCTCGTCGCATGCAAGCTACATTATGCATAGGTACTATACATTATACCGCACTCGGCCTGGTAATTATGAAATCAATTCCTGCGGCGTGTACGGTTTATTAACGAAAACGTATGTAAATTCGATTGGTCGCGGCGATAAAAGCGGACGAGGTAATTTTACCTCGAATTTGTTGAACCGAAAGTGATGTGTATTATGAATAACCCTCGGATTTCTGGATTTCGGGAAAAAATCAAGAATGAAATACGTAGTATTACCCAAATTGTTATTGACGGGAAAATTCAGTGCGGAAAAGAGATTATTACAGGGCGATTCGATGTGGTGGAAGTTAGCCCCGCCTTTTATGAAAAATCGAAAATTGAATGTTGTGCTGTATTGTGCTCCTCATGTGCTATTCTGTGCCGCTAATATTTTTTATAATTTTTGAAAAACAAAAAAGTTATACGTTTTTCCTTTTTTTTTTAATTTGACCGGCCCCGTTATTTTGGTTAAATTAAAAATTGAATACATTAATAAAATGTGTTATATTTGTGCTGTTTTGTGCCGTTAATTTTTTTTTTAATTTTAAAAATTAAGAAAGTTAGGTATGTTTAACATATTTTTTCCCTCAAAATGTTTAGTTAATCAAAATTGAATGTTGTGCTGTATTGTGCTCCTCATTTGCTATTCTGTGCCGATAATATTTTATATGAATTTTAAAAAACAAAAAAGTTTTAAAAAGGCGGGGCTAACTTCCACCACATGGCGATTCGATTAATTAGTATTTGGTGTCCCGTTTAAAATTTTATTCATATTATATTTTATTTTGTAATCACTTGTAAAATAAAACCAAACAGCATGGAAAATTTAAATTGGTATTGATTTTTACATAATAATTATTTGTTATAAATTCGATAATGGTTCCCTACACTCAATTAGTAATTATTGAAAAATCAAAAAAATGCAGAAAATTCCTCATATTAAATAGAAAAGTGGGGCCACCCTATAAACGCTTTAAGACGAAATTCCATATTAATCTATAATAAAAAAAGTATATTAATGTGGAAAATGTGGATGTATAAATCAAACGAATTGTTCGAAGTGAACGAGAAAAAATGGCAAAAATTGCGACACATACTTAATCACTTTTATTGGAACAGCAGAACAAATATTTGATATTAAAAACGCCATAGAAGATCTCCAATTTCAAATTGGTTCGTACAAATATAGAGCAAGCAAAAATCGCCACATTAATTATCCCTCGGAAGCATTTCCATAATTCTTGGATTCAGCTATAAAACTGTCATGAAAACTTAAATCAACAACACTAGCACAATAAATTTATCTACTACATTGATCTCCACTATTTAAAAAAGATTCGAGCAAATCATACAAAAACCTTCTTTAATTCGACTACATTATACAAATCCTGAAGTTATATCTCAGACGAGATAGTATAGGTAGAATTTGTGATATACAAATTTCCATGGCGCAATGATTTCCCGATTCCTGATTCCTGAAGCACACTCCCCTGTATAAAAGGTGGTGATATTATTCGACCATACACCGAGCAATAGTGATGTTTTAATGATATGTATAAACACGCTCGGCTGTCGAAGTTTATGCATAACAAGTGCGCGATTATGAGTATTCGCCCGACAGGAATAATGTTATAGGCCTACATGGGCTCCCGGTACACCGTAGAACGTTTGAACATTTTAGTTGGCCAATATTTTAACTAATGTATTACGCGAAATTGATTATTTCAAGTCGGAAGTTTTAACAAAAGTTACTAAAGAAGCATCCAAAAAGTAGATAACTCTTGTTTAATTATGAAATTGTTTGTGATCAGAGTTAATGAAATGTTAAATTTATATTAAACTCAAGACAATTTGTAGGTATTTGTTATTAATAAATTTCCGGTTAAATATGACATTAAATTCTACCTACATATGCAGTGTTGTTATGTATTAATTACATGTATTTAACAAATATATTTAAATGCGTAGTTAAATACACAAGCTTCATTTGTATTTACAATGTATTTAACACATTTTGTCTAAGCTTTTAAATATTTACCTGTAGTTAGAGTTTAAATACATTTTTATAAACAATGTTGAGAAGAATAACCTAATATTTTTTTTACAAAAAAACAAAAATTTCCTTATATTGAGAGACTCGCAACAAGGAGCTGAAATCGAATATGATTTAATAAATATACCATTTCATTTAAAAAAATGTATGTTTAACAACACTGTAGGTACATATGTATGTATGTAAAAATTGTTTGCAAAAATAATATATCCACAGGATTAATTTTTAATTTCGTGGCCATTTGTAATAGCTATTTTGACCAACGGACGGTCCGAGAATTGAAAAGTGGACTAATCGCGGCGCTCCGACCGTTCATATGCTAATTTTTCGAGTGTTTATTACATGTTCGGACCCGGATGGGAAGTGCGCATTAGAGGAAAAGCGCGGATTTTGGCGGGGTCTCTAAAAGCGATTATGCGTTTTCGGGCGACCTACAAACTATAATTAAATCGTGTGTATACAAGTACACGTGAATTTTATTATCCAACTCGTTTTTCCAATAATATATACGGGAAGGGAAATGTGGTAGCAAAGATAAATATTTATACCTATATTGTCCTATAAAGTTTCTCAAATACTCCAGTTTGTTCTACTATAATGATATAAAGAAAGTTGTTTTGGTAAAAATATTATTATTCTGGAACACTTTACGCTAATAAATGGTTTAAAGCGTCTCTTTAACGTAAAGAATACCCATAGTTACTCCATAACAATAATGTACTCATGAAAACTTAAACACATCTGGTATAACATAAATAAAAAGCTCTGAATACGGATGTTTGTATATTTATGGAGGAGATGTCTGTGTTTCGAAAAATTGATTACAATTACGTGGCAAAAAGAAATGCCGGAACGATTTGGGTGAAATGAGTGTATATGGCTTTTGAAAACCCGTACGAAACGTTCGTTAAATGTTGGAAACGAGTTTGAAATAGCCATCATTGGATATTTTTGTGATATTTGATATTTTCCGCACACGCTAAAATCGCTTTACGATTGAATGAAAAAGTAATTATGGTTTTTTTTTCACAATTTTAAACCGCCGGACGGGACGAGATTTATTCGAGTTCAATTTTTTAAACAGATTTTTCCTTTAAATCCGAATTTATAACACGCTTTCTTTTTAGTTTCTCGAACTAGTAAAAGCGTCGGCGGTTTTTTAACTTTTACTCCTAAACCAAAAACTAGTTCGCCCTTATCCGAAAACTTTAATCTAGATTCATAACTCCCAGTAGCAAACATGCCAGTTTTCACTTCCCAACTCCGCAATTCCGCGCACATCTCTCACTCCTCTCCATAGTTTCGGAGTTGCAAGTTCAACTTTCGTGTTTTATGTAAGTTGGAGATCGCGCGTTCGAAGTATCAAATTAAAATGGATTTACGGATTCAGAAAGTTCCATCCGTCGTCATCTTGTCTTAATTAAAAGACCGAGGAGTCTTCGACCGGAGAAAAACAAACTCCAGGTATTTAATTTCCTCCTGGACCAATTAACATCGCCCCTCGGGACGTTATAATTGCCCCACTTCGGAAAATTGTCAATATACCGACCTCTTAGAGTACCAAAATTAGTAATCTAGTATAATATTGAAATAAAACAAACTTTCAATCCGAACACTATTAAAAATAAATGCAGTTCCTTCTCTTACAGTGCAGCCTAGACAAAACGGGCCTCGGCAGGTGTTTCAAATCGCGCCACAGCAACGAATCCCAATGCCCGATGCTCTCGAACAAAACCGCCGCCGGCAAATTGAAGCACGGCCGAGACGCCGCCGCCGCCGGCCACCCCAAGCAGTCCTTCATGGCCACGCTGAAGACGTCGCCGTCGACCACCAGCCACCAGAAGAAGCTGCGCTTCCAGCTGGCCAAGGAGCGCAAGGCCAGCACCACGCTCGGCATCATCATGTCGGCGTTCACCTTCTGCTGGCTGCCGTTCTTCGTGCTCGCCCTCATCCGGCCCTTCTTGGAGACGACCAACGCCCTCAAGACGCTCGCCACTCTGTTCCTCTGGCTGGGCTACGCCAACAGCTTGCTCAATCCCATCATTTACGCCACGCTTAATAGGGATTTCAGGAAACCGTTTCAGGTAAGCTCATCTCACACTCGACACTTCTCACAATTGTTGGGATATACCTACTGTTGTTAATAATTTATATCGATTATATGAGGTTTGTTCTTCGCCTTATATTAGTAATTACAAATCCAACAACAAGTAGAATATAAATCAGAATTTTTCGCATTTTCGCGCTAACAAAATTCCAACAATTAAATCGGTCGAGAGCACTCGAACGTCCGCCAGTCCGTTTAAAATGCAAATCAGGTTTAATTACCCATTCGAAAAACAAACAACCGCACGATTTTTCGCGCTTTAAGGTTGAGTAAATTTCCGTTGTTCCAGGCGATCCTGTACTGCCGGTGCGGCAGCCTGAATCACATGATGCGCGAGGAGTTCTACCACAGCCAGTACGGCGATCCGGATCACAACGTCAATCGTTGTCACATAGACTACGAGGAAGGCGTCGAATACATCGAGGCCGACGGCGAGGAAGTCAAAGTGCCCGATACCGACGCCTCCGCACGCGAATCGTTTCTATGATTTTCAATCGACCGGTCCCGGTAAGACGATTATCTTTTGCTCGAGTGTCGGCTGGTTCTGAAAGGCCTCTATGGGTTTATTGAGTTTGTAGTGGGTAGATTGAAAAATGCAGTTTTCTCTGTGCGAAACACATTAATAGTCGTTTTGGATTTGGAGAGGAACATTTTTGTGATTAGAAATTACTCGATGAAGGACTTGAAATTTTATAATTTTCATTTAAAATTTGGAATTGAAGTGTAGTAATATTTTACTAACATTGAAACGATTAGTGTTTCTTCGTTAATTTGTAATAAAAAGAACACATACTTCTAAAGTTATTAGAAAAATTGAACATTTGCTTATTCCGAAGTTTTTAACTAACCATCCAAAAATACTTGTTTCTCAAAATTTCGTAGAAAAATTTATATTGCCAGTGTAAAACTTATAAATTAATGCATTTTCTACAAGGTAATGTTATTTTCCACACCTAGCAACCTTACTTTTAATGCAATAATTCCTATAGAGCCTTCAAACCAGCCTATTTTGTAAACATCGATTATTTATGTCTAGATCGTTTCTGGTTTAAGGGAACAAAATAAAAGATGTTCTTATTTTGTGGTCATAAATTCACAATTTTTTTGTGATCCCCTAAAACACCCTGTACAAGAACTTTCCTATTTATTCCCTAAAAGTAGATTAGCATGAATTATTTCCCGTAAACCTTTATTAAATAATATACAGGGTGTTCCTAAATATCGTGTACATCCGAAAGGGGAGTGATTACTTGGTTTATTTTATGACTAAAAGTTCATATAAACGTGGGTCCGCAAACGCTTCGTTACCGATCTACAGGGTGTTGAAATTTCAAGATTTATTTTGTTTCTTTTTTAGAGCTCATGAAGTTTTTGAGATATTTAGCTCAAATTTAGGTATAGGATATAAGGTATAGAGTGTAATTTGAGTAGGAGTGGGTCACTTTCAACATTTATTATAATGTAGTTAAATAGTTATTTTTTAGGGTTTTTGTTTTGTAAAATAAATCATTTGTACAGAAAATCATTTTTAATTTTTTTCTCGATAACGGTCACAGAAACGAAAAAATTTAAAAATAAGAATAGTTTCTAAACAAAACAGACAATTAATTTTGTAATTTAGAATCTATCAGCGGCGCACAACAAAAAAGTTCGGGGGGAAAAAGGGGTACTTGACCCCTGAAAAAATATCACCCTGTAGAATTGAACAACCATCTGATATACCCAATATTGTGTGCCCTATAAAGCAATCTTGATTCAAAATTTGAGCTAAATATCCTTAAAAGTGTAGGAGCTACAAAGAAAAAAACAAAACAAATTGAAATTTCAACACCCTGTATAGATTAGTAACGAAGCGTTTGCGGATCTATGTTTATATGAACTTTTAATAATAAAATAAGCCAAGGAATCCCCCCTTTCGGATGTACACGATATTTAAGAACACACTGTATATGCTTCCGAAAAATTAAAAAACTTTCTTACATCTTCTTATGCATTAACTTCGTATTATTTATTTATTGTTTGTTATTTCAATACGAATTTAGGATTTCTGGGGATATCGCGAGACGGATAATCCCTATTATCATAAAACCGGAGGAAATTCGTACTGTTTACCGGATCGTTTCTATTCAAATGGAATTCAAGTAAAGGAAAAATGCCATTATCGCTGGCGCATTAAAAAATAAAAACTTCCTCGTCTCCGCCGAGTTGCGTTCGTACATTTTTACGGAGATTTTAGATTGGGAAATTAATAATGGACGTACAAAGAGACGAGAGACTGCATTTACGCGGATTAAAAGAGAATCCGTCTCGACGTGGAAAAGTGATAAAATTGGCGAAGGATGAACCATTTTTTCAACGCCAAAATATCGAATTTCCTCGAAATTAACGGTTCATTCACATTTAAACAAAAACGCTTGATTAATATAATTACACACCGTAATCGCAGAAATGAAATTACCTTCGAACACACACTACAAATTGTTCCGAAATAACCCCGCAATTTTTTCTTATAGCCTGTAATTTGCCGGGTCGTAGAACCTTTCCATTCGAAAACACCATGCGAGATTTATGGATACAGTATGGAGTCATTAAATAATTTCCTCGTGCTGGAATTTTACTTATTTACGAGTATAGAGCTAGAATTGATGTGGTATAATTTCACAAAAATAATAGCGTACGGCGAGTTTAAATTTTTCGAATAAGAACATACTTGGTTTCGACTAATTTCGCAAGCATCATCCTGTACGTATCGATCACGTAAATCCGTAAAAAGTGAATTTGAATCCGAAACGAGAACCCGAGGGCACGCGAGCCATTATTATGTCCACCTCAGTTAGGATCATTAATCACCGCTCCGGGCAGTATATTGCCTGTTACAGACCGCCGTCGGTCGTCGGGGCGCCGTCCAAAAAACTCGGTATTTACAAAAAAAAGGCCTATACAAAAACCAATTTTCGCCCCGACACCGCATAACCCCGTCAAAATCGTATTATTTTATCTTCAAACAGGGAACTATAGATATAGCACGTTCACGCTAATCCCGCTGTGACGTCACCATTCAATTAAAACCGCTGTTTTTAAAGTGAATTCGTTCGTTTAAAAATCTATTTGTTATCAACAGCGAGTCGAATGTGTCTGGTTAAATCTGGAAATGGGCCTGGAAAGATAAATATTGAGGGCGAAATCTGCCGTCATTAGTTCACCCCATTCGGAAAGCGGCGATGCCCATAAATTACCCTTCTGCCGATGATAATCCGGGGGATCGGTTTCTTGACCCTACTGGGACGACGTTAAGACCGTATTGACTTATCGTTAACATTATTCTAACTTGAAAGTTTTTGTTGAAAATCGAACGGGGCCGATTGCCGCGTTGAAAGTTATTAATTGGATATCGATTTCGCGATAAGCGAGTGAATTATAATTGCCTTTTTTCAACAACGCGGTTTTTTAATTGATTTTTATTAGGTAGTAGAAAATTAAATTTGATATCTACTTGGTAAGAGAGTTATTTTAATTACTGATTAATGCCATGTATATCAACTTGAAAGCGACTTTTTTTTTCGTCGGAAAATAACGTGCAATTTGTATTCCCGGCGATTCCTATTTTTTGAAAGTTTAACGAGGAAAAAAGTTGGTTGTACGTTAGAAAGAAATGCGGCACAAAGGGGTACGGAAAAGTGGCGGAATATAACGACTTTTCGAATACCAACTTCCTAATTATTATGTGATGTAGCCGCCTTTTACTCTTTGAAACCCGCTTTTCTTTCAAATATTCAGATTTCGCCCATGCAAATTGGAACTTTCAGCTATCTACAAGAGGAATTTTCCTTCCCTAGAAACCACTCTCGAAATTTACCTACTGAATTTTTGCAACTTATACAAAGTCTTACAAAAACTATTAGAAACATCCTGTATAAACATCAATATTTCAGCACTTCATTAATTCCATTTTTGTTTTCAATATAACGCATATACTGATGGTTTTATTATTTTTCGTCGTAACGCCGAGGAGTTATTAGCGGCGGGTAATAAAAATAAATTTTATGAATCAATCGGTCTGATACACAGGGCGTTTTACGTATTATTTTGCGGCGCCAATAAATTCCGCGCGACTCGTAAAAATTTCAACGGCCATTTACAAGGCTGGCCGGCCAAGTTTTCTAATGACTGCCGGCATTAATCGCTGGTGCAATAAAGCTGCAGAGGCCGTGGAACTTTCCATCTTAATTATTTTCGATTTGTAATTAAAAACTGATTCGAACAAGTGTCGAAATAACTGGCAACGAATTTTTATGTTGTTAAAAATCGAATTATTAATGAAAGAATTTGTTCAGCGTACTGAATAAATTCAATTTGCATGTTATGTGCATGCTACATGTATTTTTTAATAAAATTCTTTTGTTGCTTACATACCGTACTGTACCTATGCGATAATAAAATTTTAATGGAAAATGCCCAGTGAAAAAAAGGTCATTACATAAACCATAAATAACACGAATTATGAATTGTAATCAATCAAATGTCGTATTGAAAAGCGATGGGAGTCGTTCGCTTATTATCGTTAAGTAAATAACTTAGTTCGAAATCCATTAACTCGTTTTTATTTGTCACTGTACTTTATTTGTTGCCAACACAAACCGATATTTACATTTAATTTCATTTGGGACACCTTGTATAGCACATTAATATTACTAAATAGTCGTCGAATTGCGATGCTACGTGAACCGAAAACGAAAACATTAGGAAAATATGATTAAAAGCACTTAACAAAATTTTCTAAAAATAAAATAAATATTACATCAAGTTGATTAATCTCTTTGCCGTCCGTTGTGAATGGATAAGGTCGTTTGAACTAATTTAATTTTTCTCTCTGAACGTCGAAAATAGTTTCGGAAAATCTCACAACGCCGCGTAAAAATAAATCGAAAAAAATCCTCCCTTAGTTCAATACAGAGCAACGGCATATCCTTTGGGAAAATTTTCGACGTCGGGTTAATTAATTTAATACCGTTTTCGATCCGGTTTTTTTTTTCTTCATAAAAAATACCGAAAAGCTTAATCAGAACCTAAAAGGGCATGTGACGGGGTTTTTCAAAACGAAAGAACACTCGTCCAATTACAGAAATTCCCCGAATTTCTTTTCCGGCATTTTCTCCTCATTCCGGCGTTTCACTTCGCGGAAAATTATCGTCCGATTAATTCAAGCCTCCCCGAAACAGAAAGTGACAATTTATCTTAGTTTTTCTTAATCTATTCTGCGAACTCAAATCATTTATAATAGAGGTTCATGAATTATACCGACTTACTCTACATCTACAGTGTGTTTCATTAATATCTGCAAGAGGTGCTCGGTTAATTGGTGCTCGAAAAAAAAATCTCAAAAGTGCCTAATTCAATAATAGTTGATAATGAATTGGGAGTATTCAGAATCACTTTGTGTATACTCTTGAACGAGGCGCCCAATTAAAATTCCAAATAGGGCAATTG